TTAAATTTATATTATTTATTCATTCTTTATTAAAACAATGAATAATTCATTTCCTCACTCATTCGCCCCATTTACTTTACATTGGGCAAAAAATGAATGAATAAAAAACAAACTCATTCATAAAAAACAGGCTCCACGTCAAAAATAACTTAACAGTTCACAATAAATATTGGACCCGTGAAAGCATAAAATGGAAGTTTATGGAATTCGAAAGTCAAATAGTGATGACTGAAATTTGAAAACGGTCGGACTTTTATTAACAAAATGTAGAGCTGTGAAAGGGAAAAGCTTGTTTTTCATTGTCACAAAAAATAGGCTGAACAAAAGAAGAAAACAAAAATCCTGGAAATTTTATTTATTTTACTGTTCAACCGAGAAAAATGTGACCCAAAAAATTCTAAAAGGTTAGCTGGAGGAATTTGTCTATTTTTATTATTTTATAAATTACAGAAATTTATTTCAACGTCAAAATTCAAACGTTGCTAAGATAATCTTTAAAATTACGATAGCTGCTAGGTAACCTTTTAGAAAAAATTGGCCATATTTTTTTGCATATGAACAGTAGTTTGTACCAAGTAATTTGAATGTTAGACGAGTTTTAGAACAGCTAAGTTACTTTTGAGACGGAGTATATTTATTTGAAGACGCGATTAAGGGCGAAATTAATTAAACCTTTAAATTTTTACGTTTTCGCAGCTGGTGACGACACCGCACTGAATAATGTGGATTTCTACTGCTGCGTTAAGGACTGGTAAAGAATACGGTTATAAATACGGACTTGCACAAGTTATATTTTTCTATAAATAATGATTTCTACAATAATTTTTCTGCAATGTAAAAGTTTAATCTTGTTTAAATAAGAAGGATGGAGGAATCTAAGGAATAAATACATTTGTACTCACTAATTTTTTCCCCCATGAGGCAGAAGATCATGGGTGCTATTGCTCATGGCTTTTATAAAGAAATCGCGTTCAAATTTAAAACGGGGCCGCTTATGACTCTGCTGCAGGGTACCAGTGAGATTTTTACTAAGGGCCGTATGCCAACCAAAAACCTACAGTGCAGACTTGATATAGCCCGAGTCAGACCATCGCGGTTATCACTCAATCTCATTTTTTGCGTGAAATTTTATCCTAAATGCATATCAAACAATTTAAAAATTTAAATTGATTATTCCAATTTAAATATTCCAATTTATATAACCTAAATCATAACCGAAATCATAACCTAAATCATAACCGAAATCATAACCGAAATCATAACCCAAATCCTATCCGTAAACATATGTTTGTTTGTATAATATAAATCAAAGATATGTATGCATGCTTGGATTTAAATTAAATATATACAATGTTAGTATGTGCATACAAATTCTGATTTGCACTGCCTGATTGTACGTAAACTCGATGTCGAATCACTCAACCGCTAATTATTACATCCGGTGCCAAGTTTGTACAAATGTAATTCTTTATCCAATTCATCGCTTCGAAGTGTTACGTCTGCAGACGAACACAAAACTACCCGAATTGATTAATGTTTTAATTTCTTCATTTTATAGGTTACAAGGTTAGAATAAAGCTCATCCTGAACTTGTCAAAATCATTCCAAGATTTGCTCATTAATTTATTATTTTTTATGTATTCGCATTACAACTTCTTATATAATTAAGTTGAAAATTAATATTTCTTTATGCTAATAAGTAAAATGAATTGTAAATAAATATAATGTAGTACCAACAATGCAGGTCTTTAAGGTGTAAATCTCAGATTTATATAGGCCAATTCGATTTTTGTTTGATAAGTCACCAGGTCCAAGGTAGCCACAAGAAATAAGCGTTCCATATTTCTTAATTTTTACGAATTTGAGTCCGGGGCGCGAATTGCAAGCCCACTTTCTACGGGTTTTCAGCCAAACCGCATGTTTTAAAAATATGTACTTTAATTTTTCGAACTTAATCACGAATTCACAAATTTTGAAACACGATTATGTTATTTAGCAAGATTTATTAAAAGTTGAATTGTACTCAATCCTGTACGAAATGTTGTACCCACAATCTTAGAAACTTGGTATTGAAAAAAACCTAACGGTATTGATACGTGACTCTACCGCCTTGGTATTAAACGGTTATACCATATTGGTATAGAACCGGGTTAATTAATACTAATTGGTATTAAAGTTTTTACCACGTAGTATTAACTCAATGCCGGATCAATACCACGCGGTAGAGTCACATATCAATACCAACGGTTATTGATATTTTTAAGAGTGCAAAGTTGGATCCAAAATCATACTTGTGCTGTGAATATCGGAGTCGGAAAGCCGGCGACTAGCAAAATGCAGGAATGTCACGGAAAATTTTAATGGGACGGACTTTTCGAAATTATTATATAAAGGACGTCACGAATATTTCCTACACGAGTTTTGTTCCCATTGGTGACAAAAAGTCTCCGTAATCATCACCCAACAATATGTATATGTGGTACTTCCGAGATTGACGATTTATCTATGAGTTATTTAGAGTGCATTTATTTCTTGTAGAGTAAAAGTTCAAATTGACCCAATATATATAAATAAATCCAGTTTTACACTTGAAAGACCTGCATTGTAAGTCCTAAATTTGAGACATGTATATCAAGTCTTATCATAAATTACGACGTACACAAAAATGTAGGTATGTACACATGCAAAATCCAGAAATTAAAACATTCTCTAATTCTGGTAGTTTTATGCTAACATAAATGAAGAGATTGCTTTCTGGATGCGATAAAGAACTACATATTTACATACCTTGCAACGGATGTAGTAATATTCGGTTGAGTAATTCGACATCAAGTTTATGCAAAATCTGGCCGAGTGAATCAAGGTTTATACTTTGTATTTAGTTTTTACCTAAGCTTGTATACATGCATGTAAATATTATTTATGATTCAGGTAGTTCTGCAAAGTATGAAAAAAATATTTTGTAATTTATCCAGATTATGCAGACCCTATTAAAACAAGAGGGATGCTAACTAATTAAAATATAGGTGTTTAATGGGTAAAACCAACAAGTTATGTATGCAAAATGTGCAAATTAATCTTTAGCATTAATCAAAATTCGGCGTTGTAATTAATTAATATTGAAAATGTAAAACTTAATCCGGAAAGTGTTAAATATTATGTAGGCTCAGTTGTTCATTAACGGCTTCAAACTAAGCACCTTTTCACAATTTGGTTCAAAGTCAAATTTCTGGTTTTATGAAATTCCTTAACTTGTCTGGAAACATTTACGACTACGTGTTTTTAAAATGGGTCCTATTTTACTGATTTTAATTTATGTAATTGTTTTTGTTACGATAATGTGTTATTTTTTCGGAAAACCTTCTCTCATCATAGCGAAATCGTAATGTATGTACATACATTTAACTAAATGCTTGATGCAGGAATTATTTAATTAACATTTTAACGCACCATTGCAATGTGACAGATATGTGCAAACTTATCAGGCGTCGAGGAACTTGCGAGACGAATCTAAAAATGAATTCATATCCGGAAAGATACCGGTAAATGTCAGAAAATGAGGTACAGATAATTTAATTAACTTCAGAGTTTTAGTTAAGTTTAATTTATTTAATTTTAATTTATCCTAATTAATTCAATTTTAGAGTGAGAACACACGGCCTACTGAACTGTTAACAAAAATAAATAATTTGCACTGATTCCCTCAATCTTAAATTTAATAGCCAAACATTTCGCAATTCCGGTCAAATTAATCACATCATTGCAATTATTTGTTCTTCAAATATAATAATTTATAACGCATTATTCCTCCAGTGTTACAGTACAGAGCCTGCACCCGCAGTAATAAGAATACGTAAGCATTGTTAATAGTCAATTTTGCCATTTTTAAGTTATCCACAGATAAAAATTGCACAATAAAATCAAAATCTTTTGATCCACTGAGTACTTCAGCCAAACTATGTACTTTTACGAGTTTTCCACTTTCGCCAAATGTGACAATAGTTTCGCTATTTAATACTTTCATGACAATTTTTTATCATATTGGCGAATTTTTTTTTGCCAAACTGGCTTTTGCCAAACTGACTGTCAATCGATTTCCCAGTGCTACAAAAATATCTATTCTGAATGCAGCCGAGATGCATTGTTTTTCAGAACCCCTCTTGGAGCGTACATATTTACATGCCTGTTCACTTTCATTCAATTGATTGATTATGATAGTGAATGAGGGTGAATGAAAATGAAAATCCTCTCATTGGAATGAAAATGCCTGTAAGATTCCTTCATATCAGATTAGTGACTGTGAATTAATGTAGTATACATGCACACAAAGATAACAAACTGGTAGTTTAAATTGGTGGTAAGATTAAATTATGAGATTAAAGTACACAAAATCAGACAAAATTCATATAATAAAGTTATACATACTTCCATACAGGGTGGTTTAAAAGTCGTGCTACAATGGACAATTTGTAAATGTAGTATCTCCATTAGTTACAAGATTTGGGATAGAGATTTTTATAATTTTTATCAAAACTGATGACAAACTTCTTGAAATGTTGAATTTTAGATACAAAATTTCTGTAACTAATGGAAATTTATCAATTTTTCCCATCTTAAAATTTTCCATTGTGGTGTGGCATTTTAACCACCCTGTATATCAAGATTTTTTTTGCACATTTTAGCAACTTTTGGTCAGTATTCTGTTTCAAAATTGTACTCCACTATTTCGTAATAGATACCTGATAAATTCATCGGCACGTGAGACAAAATTTTGATCAAATTTTTACCATTTTAAATATGATCAAGTCTGTAAGTTTTGCCTCAACCTTCAGAATTCGCAACTTTCTCAACTTTCACCTTACGTGCAGTGTAAATTTCGGGATGCATGTTCTTGCTTTCTCTCTTTCTCTCGCAAAACAGTTGGGTTTGCTTACTCCGACCTGTACCAAAAAGTGAAAGTCTCACACGAAATCGGGCTCAGTTGTGCGGTAGCAGTCGAGTCGGAATCACGTCGTCGAATTCTTGCTCGCTTTTTCCAGTCAGACTTTCATCACGAGAAACAAATCGTTTTTTTCATGTATGGACTCGCTTTTTGTGACTCGCTGGGTTCCGTTGTTATTCATTGTAAAGTGTAACTTTCCAGTGGTGAATATGAATATTATTGTGTATTAGTGAAATCTTGGAGATCAATGGAAAACATTAAATATTGGTGAGCACAGTTTGGAGTTAGTGGGCTTAAAATTTTGTACAAATTTAAATAAATGAGACGGGTGAAATGTAAGAATTTTCATTTTTTCTAATTTCACCATAAATTTTGTTGTATTTAGGACTGATAAATGTCGATTTACATAACTGGGTAGAATGAAATTTGCGACAATACGAAGCATAATATTAAATAGTTCTTATGCATTTCACATGCTGCTCGAGTGAATACACATGCACAGGAAACAAATGAATTGTTTGACAAACCTCAAAGATTAAATCTCTCTTTTCCGACAATTTTAGATTTTTTGGCCTGAAGATTTTCAAAAATAATCATAAAATTTGTAGGTGTCGAATTTTCAGGCGGGCACTCGAAGTTTCCGTGAATGACACTGTTTGAAGTAGTTATATAAATTTCTGGGAAGGTTCTAATTGTAACAACTCGTCCAATAAGTATTTACTTAAGCAGTGATTACTTTATGCTTGACTTCAACATTAACATAAATTTATGAATACGGGAATCCAAATCTTTTTTTGTTGCAATGTTCATAAATTTTTAGTATGGGGAAATATTTATTTATTTATGTATTGATTGTGCGGTTTAATATCGGTAAATAAGTATCTTTCCAAGTTGGAAAAAGGACAACATTTTCATCTTATTTTTCTGTTCCTGACCAGAACAAGAAAGACAGAAGTAAAGTTTTGCAATTAGTTGCACTTGGTGTGGAGAGCTGTTATGTAACTGCGTGTTTGGTTTATGTGCAGCAGCAGTTGCGAAATGTTGAGAAAGAGAAAGGTTTTCGTGTTTTGGAGAGAAAATGCAACCTTAAGCTGGGGTCGATGCAGCTCTTTTGTTTAAAGAAAAGGGGAGACACTTTATTGCTAAGCGAATGATAATATTTTGCTATTCTACTTAATTGTTGCAATGGCATAACTGCAAGATTTATTGCACTTTCTCCCATCTGTGCACAAAGGTTGGATTAAATTTCGAAGATTTTTGCTTCTAGAAAACTTTGCACTTTACGAAAAACATCTAGGTAGTTTATTTGTTTTCGGGGAAATTTAGGGATATATCTACATAAACTAATTTTGTTCAAATGCTAGGTTATCCAATTCCGAAAATTAGATTAGAAGAATTACTCAAACGAATCGAAAGTTGCATTTAAATACGTATTTCGAAGCATACGATGTTGGTGTCATTTTCGAAATTTGCGATAATAGACAAAAAAAGTGAGGTTAAAAAGCTTGGAATGCATGTATGAAGAAATTATTTCACCTTAAACAGACACCCCTTAAATGATACTGATTGACACATTCTTTGTCCCATCGGACGAAGAGGAAAATGATAAAATTATGTACACCTTTCTTAATTTTTGTACTTTAATTACGCCGAGGAGAGACTAAATATTGAAAAGATTATGTGGTAAATACTGCATAAAATGCAATACAAGTGTATGCAAACAATGGCGTAACATTTAATCAAAGAGAGACAAAAGTCGGTTATGCAACTGGTATGAAAGTTTATTTGCATTTACTTGGACAATATTGGACATTGTGAAGGAAGATGAGATGGCCGCACTTTTAAAAATCGGGTGTACATGGGCATCAAAGTTGATACCGGGTGGTATTAAAATTAAACAGGTATTTATGTATGTGTACCTGTCCGTAATATTGATCTATAACTCGTCCAAAAAAATGGAGATGGAATTACTTAAATTTATGAAATTAAGATAAATAAAATTTCAATTAAATTTTTAATAAAATTTTGGCTATCTTGTCATGCAAACAAACTCTGCCAGATAACCTGTCAGATTTTTTTGCCTCTATTATTAAGGGGTGAAAGCCCTTTATAAGATCGTTATGTCCGTCTGTCCGTCCGTCCGTCTGTCTGTCCGTAGCTCCGATAACTTTTGAACGAAAAGACATAGAGACTTGAAATTTTGAACGTAAACTCCTAACGTCAAGGGACAGGACGAGTTCGAAGATGGACACTGTGACATCGTCACCTGTGACGATGACGTCGTCACAGTGACGAAAAGTGACGAAAAAGTATCATGTGTCAGTTTTGACATGCGGCACATCATTTTTAACTATTTTTCAACGAGGAATTTGAAAATTCATGTCATTTTGTGTTTGGACGTCACCTGTGACGATGACATCGTCACGGTGACGAAAAGTGACGAAAAAGTGTCACGTGTCAATTTTGGCATGCGACACATCATTTTTAACTATTTTTCAACGAGGAATTTGAAAATTCATGTCATTTTGTGTTTGGACGTCACCTGTGACGATGACGTCGTCACAGTGACGAAAAGTGACGAAAAAGTGTCACTTGTCAGTTTTGACATGTGACACGTCATTTTTAACTATTTTTCAATGTCAAATTCAATGGTGACCTCCATTTTGACCTCAGAGGTCATGTAAAGGTCATAGGACATATCTATTTCAATTTCAACTGAAATTTAACCCCGAATTCAATGGTGACCTCCATTTTGACCTCAGAGGTCATATAAAGGTCACATAAGGGTTATCAACTGTTAAATTTGACACAAATAAGACACAAAAGTCGAAAACACGTCAGAAGTGTCAATCTTAACAAATTTTCGAACAATTTGATATTCACATTGACGTATGACACTCCTTTCACCCCTTGGTTACATGCGTTGTAACGGTTTATTTTTGTAATATTATTACAATATTGCAATTCTATTAGTGGAATCTGCAAGATAACCTGTAAGACTTTTTTTGTCTCTTTTGCTACAAACCCTAGCATTGTTTTAGGATAGGATTTCTAAGAGTGTGACAAGCTCCGAGAAGGAAGGCAACGGGTGGTTGAGGATTATGCATCAAAGTTGAGTGAAAGCAAAGTGAGAGATGGATATTAAGTACATAATCTTGACAAAATGAATGAGAGAAAGTATTAAACATTTTGTTCATGTTTAGAATGGAGCATCATCATGATCATAATAAATAAATACGGCAGAAGCGTTATGCATCTTCGTCTCCGGGGAGAAATGCAAATTCTTTTTGACGAACGTGAAGTAACATAGAGAAAGTCAGCCTTTATTTATTATGTAAGAAACGAGATGCAAATGTTGGGGGAGTGAGTGAGTGCGTGATATTTATTATTAGTTTGTGCATACAAAGGACATGTGAGACATGATTCTCTCGGATCTTATTTAAAAAACACTAAAAAATAAAGCAATTAAACACAAGCAACAATTAGTGTAGAAATTAAGCACTTGTGCAGAATTTACGGAGTTAAGAAGGTTTTAAGTTGGCAAAAGTGCGCAATTTTAACATACGACAACAATAAGAGGTGAACGCGTATAGCTTTTTGCATGGTGAAAATACACATTTTTGCCACCCTGAAACCTTTTTAAATTAGTAAATTCTGCATAAGTGCTCAATTCCCACACTAATTGTTGTTTGTGTTATATACTTGATTTTAACAAAATCCGTGAGAAACATGTGTGGCATGTGCATTGTTGGTGAACAACTCTATTTTGTGTGGTAGATTAGATCAGAGGAATAGAATGAACGTATTTTATTAGAGAGTGAAAGAGGGGCAAGGATATGAATCTCGGATTGCGTTAGGGTCGGATTTTGAGTGAGTGAGTGCATGGGGACGTAAATATTTCACGACTTTGTGCGTGCACAAGGGATAAATAAAGTTGGACGAGGAGGAGGAGGAGAAATTGAGACGTGTGCATGTATTTAGAGGGTGTCCACATTATTTAGGGCTTGAAATGGTAGAGTCGAGATAAATTGCGATTTTTAAAACATGGATAAATCAAGGTTGGCTGACCAAGTTGCAGTAAAAAATGCACGGAGAAAGCTACATAGTTATTACACAAGAATATCTATATTTATTTAGAGAGTGTCGAAATTGTTTACTGATTCTGAAGTGTTACATTTGAGATAAATGGGCATTTAGACATTTTAGACATAAGGAAGTCTAAATAGGTTGGATATCTTGCTTTATGAGATTGCACCCAAAAATGCATACAAGGAGAAAGTGAGCTGATACATGCATCAGGATTGAGAGGTGGGACATCATATCCTGTTTTGGATTCAAGTTGGGGTGAAAGTGTGGTCAAAGATTGTGAGTTTATGGGTGTTAAAACAGAACTCGGTGAGGATATGTTTTCCTGTTAAAGGTCGGAAACAGATAAAAGTATGAACGGCTCACTCCGTTCGACAAGGTTGACATAAACAAAACTGTGACATTCTTGAAGGAGAGAAGGGTTTTAGATAAACGTGAAAGTACTACTTGGTAAATATTACTTTCCCCAAAATTTGTTTACAATTTTTGTAATGGAGTAAATTTGTTTGTGCAGATAAATTCGAAATTTGTGTTACTACTGCGCGGTATAACGTTACCGGCATTTGAAAACATATCAGCGAACATATAATTTGAAACAATATCGGCATTAGAAAACATTACCACTGTGTCGATTTCGTTACCAAATTATTTTGAGTTTATGTACAGATATTTATGGACTACCAGGGAAATGAAGTTTTGACTGAATGATTAATGATTGGATTGCTGGCTGTCCGCTGTTACATGATCAGCACTGTATTCATCTGTTTGCAAAATTGTTGCGAAACAAATCTGTTGGTTTAAGTAAATATAGAATAGAAAGAATAATGCAAAAGTGGAATCATAATGAACAAACGTGGAAACTTAGCTTATTTCAGGAAACTCGTACATACATACATCCCATTTCCAGTCGGTTTGTGGTTTTTGCGGTGTAAATAAACCTCATTTCCTTGTTAATATGTACATACTTTGCGTCATGTTTTCAATTTCTGACGCGTTTTGTGGGCCTTGGTGTGGTCAATTCGTAACGAAATAAAAAAACTTGTTATTTACTCTCATTCTAGTGAAGTACCAATAATAAATCTTAAATCCATTTTCGTTTAAGTTGTTGACTTCCATCCGTTGTGGAAAGTTCTTTGTTATCGAGAAGAAAAGTTTGTGAGAGGTTTGATTTTTTTTGTAGA